ACCCGAAACGTCAGCGTTCCTGCTCCTCTGATGCTGCTTGGCCTGCTGTGTTCATCCAGTTCTACACCTTGTTATCCTAGTATTACTAACCAGGTGTCTGTAGCCAAGGGGGCAAAGTAATGAAAGGCAGGGATAATGTACATATCCAGGTAAGCTGAGTTAGTGTGCACTATGATGGTGAGCAAAGAGGCGGGAGATACAGCCTGTTCTAATCCATTAGCTGGGAGCATGTCCCAGAGTGCACAATATCCTTACTGCAGCATTTCAGCACTAGTTACTGGTGCAGCAATGAAATGCAGAAGCATCCTGCAAGTGAATGGGAGATATGACGAGGGTTCATGTTAACTGGCATATGTTAGATACCAATGCTTGGATATGCATTGTGGCAGGTACCCAAAATGCTCAGCATGAAGGTCTTTTGGAGCAGGACAGTTAAATCTACCAAGAACCTGTTTCGCCTTGCATGTTGAGTTTTGTAAGGTGCTTGATAAGATTGCAACTTATTGCAAGTTGGACTCTTCACAATTGGGAACTTGCTGCTACCACCTAGTGAGAATCTTAGAGATAACACAATGTGGAGCTAGAGGAACACACAGGCCAAGCAGCATCAGTGGAGCAGGAAAGTTGACGTTTCAGGTCGGGATCCTTCTTCGGAAAAATTTTAGCCACTGCTGGAAATATATACAAGACATGGTGAAAGGCTCTTATGGCATTATAGTTTCCCTACCACTGAGCCAGAGATCTGTGTTCAAATCACACCAGTTCCAGAGACATATCATAACTTGCCTGAACAGGTTGAATAAACATTGAGGATTGTAGTGGTAGTGTCCTGGGATCTGAGTGAGAAGGTCCAGAATCAAGTCTCACTAGCCCTGGAAGTGGGTCATAACATGTGTAAACAGGCTGATTCAGAATACAAGATGTGGTAAGATGATCTGTATATCAAGATGGGGTGTGCTGAACATATTGCTTGATTTTAACACTCATCTCACCCAAGCCCATGTTGCTGATCCTAGTAAGATTTCACGTAAACTTCACCATCCTTTCAATGAAGTGAGTTCTCATCTTGGTGCTAACTGACTTATTTTTAGGATTCTGTCCCTGGTTCTAAACTCTAGTTAATCTGGAGCACCTCAGTCAGTGATGGAAGGGTAAGTACAGGTATTTTGTAGGTTTTAAATGAGAACACTTCATTTGAGATTCCAGAGAATATATGCCTGGTTTGCCCATAGAGCAGTATCTCTGCTTAAGGATCGTTTAGTAAACACAACTGCTTTAATCTGAACTTGGTCACCAAATTGTAGACTTATGTATTAATGTTAAAATCTGCTGATATGCAAGATTTGAACTTGATTAGTAACTAGCCTAATCACTATGCTATATAGTCATGTTAATGCTGTGTCTCTTAACTACATCTCCTTTACACCTTATAAACCACCAGTTTACTATTTACCATGGTGCTTTCCAGGGAGTTTATGGGTTTTAAGAAAAAAATCTTGTCCCGTCCCATTTTCACATCATGCCACTTAACACCTCCATTCAAAGATGGTCATTGACCTGAAACATTAACTGTTTTCTCCACAGACACAACCAGACTGCTTTGTCCCAACGGTTTGACCAAGCATGGAGATGAATTTCATCCCAGTTCACGCATTTAAAATTAAATTGGGAAAAAAATGGCACAATAAGTTCAACACAGGCAGGTAAATCATTCAAATGGAAAGGAAGTCATAAACAAGATTTAAAAATCTTATGTGCCTTTGATGGAGAACATCTGTTGGGAGAAAGTGCATGAATCTGTTAAGGTACATGACAAGTTACAGTAAAGGAATAGCTAGGTGGCCTAGCAATTTATAGTCATGTCAGATTGTGAAAGTGGATTTCAAGCACTAGGAAGTTGTGAAATTGACTTGGAAAAGAAATCAGACTCAAAATTTGAGTATTGTTTAAAACGATTCACTTAGCTGCAACTGGCAAAAAAGAATTACCCTAAGTCTAGGTATCGTGCAAATTAGGCCACTGTATTCGTGGAATTTGGGCAGCCATCTAGCTTCTAGAGGTATTTTTCTTTATTCATTAACTGTATGAGGGTATTGCTGGCTAGGCAGCATTTATTGCCAATCCCTAATTGCCCAGAGGGCAGTTTGGAATCAGCCACATTGCTGTGGGTCTGGAGTCTCATTTATTTTTCTAATCCCACCAAGATGAGATCTGCCAGTTTGAAGTGCAAGTGAACGCAGCTAGAACTTAGTGGTGGTCCTGGTTGGACACAGTTTAAACAGACTTACATTTGAAAGCTGTTTTATTAGCTCAAGAATAAAGAAGTTAAGCAAAACAGATTTAAAAACATACAAATAAACTTTAAAATGGTGCTTATACTTTCAGATAGCATTGCTTTAAAAGACTGAACCAGTTTGAGAGTGACATTAGTGGTTTTGACAAGTTGAAGATAAAAACAGATTTGAGTTGCAGGATGGTACTGATCTTCATTTGGCTTTTTCTAACATACCTGTTTTTAATAGTCTGCAAGAAAGAAAATCAGCCTTTTTAGTCAGTCAAATGCTATAAAGCATTAAAGCATGTTTAACATTACACTAGCCAGCCTTTATTGTTGCCTCTAATTTACTATCACTAATGATATTTAGTTATTGAGCTGCCTTGTTAGCTCAAGAATTCAAAGTGAAGTATGCTGTTTGGGTTATTGTACTCTTGTAAACTAGAAGCTGAAGTTGACACCACTCTGGTCAGACTTAGCGTCTAAAATAGGAAGCTAGCTGTAATTTGCCAACTTGCACAATGTCCCTAGGGAGCTTATTCATAGAAGTACCCTCCTTGATTTAATCACATACTAGAGGTAGCCTGTAGCTTCAAAGCTTGTTATAAGTCTGCTTTCATTTTTAGAAAAAGCATATCTGAAACTAGACAGTTCACTTACTATGTGCCTGGTCAGTTGTTTATTAACTTGCACAACATTCTTAGCCATGTATTGCACAACAGGAAGTAGTTCATCCTCTCCACAGGAGATGTAGAGCTGCAAGTGGGGAGTCCAAAAAGTAAATCCAAACTAGGCTTTAAAGCAGGCAGTGAAAGGGCTTGTTTTGCTGATCTGTCAATTGATCTCATTGAAGAAGTGTACTTACCCATTTGCCACAATTAAAGACTTTCTGAGCTAGATGGAAGGCAGCTGCAGCAATCAGGGAAGGAGGGTAACACACCACCTCATACTCCCCCCATTTGTCAGTTCCATCAGGTGTTTGGCCAGGGTGTGTTGTACAGTGCTAACCTAACCAAACAAGTTACATGTCTCTTTACATCTAATTGTTTAGAAAACAGTTGAAAATACATTCACTAGCATCTGTGATAAAGGAGGAAGCAACTTAAAATACATAGATGAGAAGTCTGAATTTAAGACTTCAATTTAATTTACCGATATTTGGAATGAGTGACTAAGCCTTAAAATGATCATTTTAAACTTGAGACTATCTTCCAAGTATTAGTATATTGGTACACATTCTCTTTTTTTAAATGGTGAGGTTACATTTGCATAAAATGATTTAACAAGCCACTCAGTTCAGCTAGAAGGCCTAGCACCCACACAACATTTAGAAATGACAATGAAGACGAAGCTTTTCAGTGGTGTCCATATTAATTTTTAAAATGTGTTGGACTTAAAAT